CCCCCTCCACACCCCTCCCACCCCCACCCCCCTCACTCACCCAAATCTACTACAGTTCACTTCCCCTCCTTTCTTCCACCACTTTAACATGAAGGAGGCGTCAATTTGGGCACTTCAGCCCCCCTAGACCAGTCCTTGATGTAAAACGTACACACTTCAGTGATGTCACGGCTGTGTAATCTGTGTCTGGTTCTGAAGCAACTCTCTGTGACATGTCAGTGCTAATTCTTTCAGCAACATTCAGTTTCCTGACCAGACTCTCTACACACTGCTGTTGATGCAGAGTTGTTTAGCAATATTAACATAGGTTTGTCTTCTCATAATGCAGTATTTGTCAATATGCTTTGGCAGGTAAGAGGATTAAGAAGAGAGTCCAATATGCTTTTTTTAAGGGCAATCGTCTCTTACCGAGAGGAGCCTAAGCATATGGATAAATATATACAGGGCACTAAAAGGTGGAATGCCAGAAATGTCATGGCTAATGAGTGATCAGAAAAGTGTGAGAAAAAATATCACATCAAGATCAATGATACGATATGTAAAATAATTGATCTTAAAATTCAAAAGAACAATAAACAACATTGCTTTAATTCACTTAGAAATAGATAAAAGAGATATCATTTTCAATTCACAAATGCATTATCAAAATCACATGAATTCTTCATCAATTTTTCATGAACCAGACTGACTGGAACAGTGCATTTGTTATAAAGGAGGCCAATATATGTATAATGTGACATACAATCAGACATGATGAGGTGACAAGTCACAATTGTGTTAGGTGAGACAAGTCACAATGTCAAGCTAGCACAACAACAACAATCACAGAAATACAGAAGCAATGTAACACAGAGCAACACTGAAAAACAATGAGTTAGTGACAATAAGATGACATCTTAAATGATAATATATATTATTTCACTCTGTGCTTGGCACACAGTCAGTGTGAAAATAAAGTTAGGAAACAAATATTTTATCAATGAGTTATCAATAACTAGTTTTAGTACATAATATGTCTTATTTGTGTTTGCAGTATTCCAACAAAGATTATTCTCAAATTCATAATGATTTCAAATAAAACAGTAATTTGAACCCACAATAATTTTGGTTTTCAATAAAAGAAATCTGTTAAACACCAGAAAATGAGAGAACAGAAAGGAATTTGACAAAATATTAGTTTTGATTCCCATTTCCTGCAACCAGTCAAGAACACTATAACTTAATCAAAATGAAAAAAGGCACAAACAAGATTGCAAACGACAGCCTACCTCCAGACTGTGAGGGTCAGGGTGTTGAAGGCACTCTTGACCAGCTGAATGGCCTCAGCACGTGACCGGCAGTGGACGTCATTGATGCTGAGCAGAATGTCCCCCGCCTCCAGAAGACCATTGGCTTTACCATCTGGTTCAACCTGGGGATAATAATAATAATAATAATAATAATAATAATAATGATAATGATAATAAATCAATTTGCAAACAACTCAGAAGAAATTATTTGCTTCAATCAATATCTGTGATAGCAGTGGCAGGAGTCATCCTGTGAACAACGAGCAGACACAGTGTTCTGGCCAGAGCAAAAGTCAGAATACAGAACCAAGGCTGTGCTATATGTTATATTACACTGTCCTGAGATGGAATAAAGGTGAAGGTAGGTGTTACTGCTTACAGCAGGTCTGTGAAAATTAAATTAAACTTGAAATTTAGATATTATTAGTAGTAAATCCACAGTTAATACAGCAGAGGATATAAAGGATTGGTCAAACAATGTCTGTCATTGCGGTAATCACATCTTGATCTCAGCTACTGCAATTTAGGATTGAAGAAAGAGTGTATTCTTAATTCTCATGGTATTTAATATATCATCTNTGTCAATATGCTTTGGCAGGTAAGAGGATTAAGAAGAGAGTCCAATATGCTTTTTTTAAGGGCAATCGTCTCTTACCGAGAGGAGCCTAAGCATATGGATAAATATATACAGGGCACTAAAAGGTGGAATGCCAGAAATGTCATGGCTAATGAGTGATCAGAAAAGTGTGAGAAAAAATATCACATCAAGATCAATGATACGATATGTAAAATAATTGATCTTAAAATTCAAAAGAACAATAAACAACATTGCTTTAATTCACTTAGAAATAGATAAAAGAGATATCATTTTCAATTCACAAATGCATTATCAAAATCACATGAATTCTTCATCAATTTTTCATGAACCAGACTGACTGGAACAGTGCATTTGTTATAAAGGAGGCCAATATATGTATAATGTGACATACAATCAGACATGATGAGGTGACAAGTCACAATTGTGTTAGGTGAGACAAGTCACAATGTCAAGCTAGCACAACAACAACAATCACAGAAATACAGAAGCAATGTAACACAGAGCAACACTGAAAAACAATGAGTTAGTGACAATAAGATGACATCTTAAATGATAATATATATTATTTCACTCTGTGCTTGGCACACAGTCAGTGTGAAAATAAAGTTAGGAAACAAATATTTTATCAATGAGTTATCAATAACTAGTTTTAGTACATAATATGTCTTATTTGTGTTTGCAGTATTCCAACAAAGATTATTCTCAAATTCATAATGATTTCAAATAAAACAGTAATTTGAACCCACAATAATTTTGGTTTTCAATAAAAGAAATCTGTTAAACACCAGAAAATGAGAGAACAGAAAGGAATTTGACAAAATATTAGTTTTGATTCCCATTTCCTGCAACCAGTCAAGAACACTATAACTTAATCAAAATGAAAAAAGGCACAAACAAGATTGCAAACGACAGCCTACCTCCAGACTGTGAGGGTCAGGGTGTTGAAGGCACTCTTGACCAGCTGAATGGCCTCAGCACGTGACCGGCAGTGGACGTCATTGATGCTGAGCAGAATGTCCCCCGCCTCCAGAAGACCATTGGCTTTACCATCTGGTTCAACCTGGGGATAATAATAATAATAATAATAATAATAATAATAATGATAATGATAATAAATCAATTTGCAAACAACTCAGAAGAAATTATTTGCTTCAATCAATATCTGTGATAGCAGTGGCAGGAGTCATCCTGTGAACAACGAGCAGACACAGTGTTCTGGCCAGAGCAAAAGTCAGAATACAGAACCAAGGCTGTGCTATATGTTATATTACACTGTCCTGAGATGGAATAAAGGTGAAGGTAGGTGTTACTGCTTACAGCAGGTCTGTGAAAATTAAATTAAACTTGAAATTTAGATATTATTAGTAGTAAATCCACAGTTAATACAGCAGAGGATATAAAGGATTGGTCAAACAATGTCTGTCATTGCGGTAATCACATCTTGATCTCAGCTACTGCAATTTAGGATTGAAGAAAGAGTGTATTCTTAATTCTCATGGTATTTAATATATCATCTAATACTCTAAATAGCAGGGCAACAATCATACCCCTCTCTGTCTGTCTGTCACTCTCTCTCTCTCACTTAAATACCATTTAAAAAACAGGTTTCTTATACTGCAGGTAATTTTCTTCTCTTTTCTTGTTGACATTTACAGCCTCAAAAGTATTCATAAAATTTCTACCTACAGCAAATAAAAGATGCACTATCAATGTGACTTCAGGTGCAACTTATACCTGTTTGTGAGAAAACTTTTTTCTTGTTGTCCCAGAAAACAAACAATGATTCAATGTGTTACACCTCCGTCAAGCCTGATCATAAACAGTTTTTTTTTCACAGATGACGTAATTGTTTTGTCCTACTTAACACAACTCTTTTGGGGACAAAATAAAACTGTTGCACACAAGTCATGGAGAAACATTACCTTTCTATCATTTAAAAAAAAACTGACGAAATATTTTTCAGTTTTTCATTTTCTTATATTTTACTTCTGCTTAAACCTCCACTATTAAGTACAATTTGAAAGTATTCCCACAATTACAAATGAAAACATTGTTAAACAGAAGACGATGTTTTTAACTTGACACTACCTTTCTGCTGGAATGACTTACTTTAGTATGCAAAGATTTTGAAACATCTTACCTCTGCCAGTTATTATATATTTTCAGTACTTAATTTCTAGTTGTTCTTAAAAATGCTCTTTATGACACAAAGTTTGCTTTTCAAAATTATTATATATTCAAAAAATCAGTATATGCAACAGAACATGATTTTGTGAAAATACATCAAATACATCAATTCATTTAGTTTGAATTCAGAGTTTTTACCATACCAAGTTTTATTCTCCTGGACCTTCAAGGACATACTTGTATACCTGCCAACATGTTTGAATTAGAAAGCAAATATTTAAAACCCGTCTACCACTATTTGTTATTGCAGACAGTTTATACTTTACAATATTTGCAGGGTATTAAGTTGGATTTGACCTGCAGAGGAGGTCACAGGTCGGGGTCTGAGGTCAAGGTTATGCTCTACAAAACTTCATTTCACTCGATTCCAAACACATCTTCTTAAGTTTCCTAGTAAATCATGTAATTACATGATGGCATTTTCTACACAGAAGAGCTTAAGCTGAAAAATTGGTTTAATTTTTTAGACCAAAAACTTAATTTACTTTACATCCCTCCAACCCACAAGAAGTTAGTAAAAAGTCCAATTAAATGAAATAGTACATCTGTTTGATAACAAGAAAGACAAAGTTAATATAGCAGATCAAAACTGTGAATTATCATGAGGTGAAAATTAACAAATTTTTAGTCTAAAAGATTTGACCAAGTTTCCACGAAAAGTTCTTCCATGACACTCATCCACAAACTCATAAATACCATGCTGACAGTGACACAGACAACAACAATGCAATAGAAGCTATAACAGTCACACCTGGCTATTATTAATTTCAAAATTGGCACCTGTCACCTTAAATGGACTCTTTAAACTTATGACGTCTCACAACAGGGCCCAGGCGGTCAAAAATGCCCCCCCTGGCCACTGCTCACAGAGCGTGAAAAGAGGACGCCCCAAGTGAAGTGTGACCATCCAGTCCAAGAGCGACTTGGTCATAAACATGTCAGCTAGACAATTGGGTGTCACATTTTTCCTTATTGTTTTCATCGTGGAAAGTGACACTGATGTTCTTCTGTTACATACACTGCACTCTCCATAACTTGTCACCTTGGAATGTGAAAACGCTTTTCTTTTTGGTATAAGCTGAAGATTTAGAATATAGCCTTACTCTCTGCATAGCTTTAAAAACTCTCTGATCACTAGTATGTGAAATAAACAGAGTCTTAAAAGTGCCTATGTAAAAAATATATAAGATCTGTTACATAAACACACACACAGCCCATACACAGCAATGAGCAGGCACGTACACACACACACACGTCCCCGGGAGGGGGGGAGGGGGAGGGGGGGAGGGGTGGAGAGGGGACTGTCAATATCTACATCAACACAGACATAGCACACAGTAGACATATTCTGGTGACATGCCAGTAGACAAACCATGTCTCATTACACAGTAGACATATTCTGGAGACATGCCAGTAGACAAACCATGTCTCATTACACAACAGACATGCAGCACTTTCAAATGGTCTTTGCACAGCCTCACTAACAATGGTTCTGGGGCCAGGACCACAAATAAAAGAAATTTGGCCCTAGATTGAAAGGTACCAGCATAAGTTGCCCAGTTAAAAATATACATAATAGATTCTCTCTGTGCTATCACATCTATGAATCATCAGTTTCTAGTGTTTACTTTATCTGCCCAAAAGAATGGAACCTTTAATTTTTTTGTTTTTATTAGTTTAAATCTTAGAATTTTTGCATCATGGCAATTTAAAAATCAATCCTAAAGAAAGATCATCAAACGTTTACCCCCACACACACTCATATTTTAAAAGAACTCTTTAAGAAATCCAGCCACTTTTGATGCGGGAGTCTGCATGTGAAAATGGAATTGAATTACATCTTCATATTCTTCTTCATATGGTTAATTTTTTTTTTTTCTGTGAGCCCATACATCACACTCCTGTACCACTGCAGAACTCAATCAATCACTTCCACTTGACACTTGGGGTTTGTTTGTCACAGCAGAAATCTTGGTGGTGTCTTTTTTTTAAAGATGTTTGGCTGCCAAAGAATGTAAAATATGCTATTATATGAAATTTACAGTGTTCGTGTGTGAGTGGATAAAAGAGCAGATATAATTCTACATGATTAAAAAAACAACATTGCCATGAATATTTTGTTTATTTCCTAGAAGCAATCCATCAAGTGACTTTTTCAAAGAGTATTTTCAAAGAATCAAAACATTTTTTCTCTCTTTTTTCTTCTCTTTGCATTTCTAAGAAATGAATATTTAACATTTCTAACAAAATCACAGCAGTTTTAAAAACAACTCTTCCCAGGGACTTGAAAAAACTGATAAAATTTATATGTGAAACACCTTCAAAACTGATCATTACCAAACAATTTCCATTCCCACATTTGTAAACCCAACATCACTTTAATTCTAGGTTCTACCTCAGCAAATAGAGAAGAAACTGATACATAATAACATAAATACACTTATTAAGATGCCAATTTCAAGTGATAAACATCTACCACATTTAAGATGTAATTTCAGATTATGCCAAAGGATACTGCCACGGGCAGATCATACCCCTAATCCTGACAACATCTTTAACATGTACCGACATGCAGATTGTTATTTTGATTTGAATGTTCCATGTAAAACTTAGTTTTCTGTGTACAGCAATGTTCAGACACACCCTACTGGTCTAAAACTCACTGATTATCAAACAGGGACAGGTTTACTGCTTTATGAGTGGGAAACCACCTTAAGTTTAAAAAATACATTATTATTATCATTATTATTATTATTTTTATTATTATTAAGATCATCACCATCATAAATAGTGACCTGAAAATATTTCTAGTCCCAAAAGGTATACTTTTAACGAAGGGAGCAAAATAACAAATAGACACCTTTCTTCACCTGTAGGGATTCCAAATAACAGTTGAGGCATCAGAGACATTATTCTAGTACAACACATATCCTGTCTTTATATCTTACCATGCATGTGAAAACCATCAAAATTACCATCTTTNACTAGTATAGTGATAGGCAGCACAGTGTAATGGTACAGTGGAATTAAGTCTTTGAGAGAGAGAAAGAGGGAGTAAAAAAGGTGGGAGAGAGAGAGAGAGATAGTTCACAACTAGAACATGGCACCAAAGCATTCAGCAAATTTCCAAATCATTACCCAATTCAATTGAAACATAAATTTCACCAAATTAAAGTTGTCAGCAAAATATTTCACTTTTTTAAATACAACTTGAAGCTACGACCAGAATGTCTCACTGTGAACAATGAGGGCAAACATAATCCTGATAAAATTCTTGAGCAAACTATTTATTGTGCTCTTAGTTTCAACAATCTCTGTACAAGTATCACGCTGCAATTCATGTCACATTCCACCGTCACCAAAGTGAACTGATGTAACTGCCAATAAATAACCAATGTACACTCATATGTGAGTGTGAACTAGGCTTTAGACATGTGTACAGCTGGGGAGTAAATGTTGTACAGTTTTGCAACACATATTGTCATGTAACATATTATTTAACATGTAGAGATATCAGAAATATGTGTTTGGGAGGCAAAGAAGACAGGAGTATTAAACAGACAATCAGTTTTATTTCACAACGAAAGACACCACAACTTTATCCTTTGTAACAAGGTGGATTTGCCAAAGTGCTCAGGTGTGAAGTTTTCTTTGAAATGCAGAATTCCTAAATTGTCATTTCTGTCAACATTCATGCATCCACATACATCAATGCTAGCATGTACAGGTTCTATTTTATCCATGCCACATAGCATTTTCTCTTTTATGAAATATTTTACTTTATTATTTGATTTCCATTTTTTTCTGTCCTATCATCATTATTACAAAGTTGTCTGCCATGCAATCCTGTATAACTTTGCTATATATTATCTT